AACAAACATGACATCACCGTAAAACAAACATGACATCAGCGTAAAACAAACATGACATCAGTGTAAAACAAACATGACATCAGCGTAAAACAAACATGACATCAGTGTAAAACAAACATGACATCAGTGTAAAACAAACATGACATCAGTGTAAAACAAACAGGAGACTTCTGGTTCCAGGTTCTGCTCTCCGCCTCCTGAAATGGTGCGTCGTCATGCAAACCGTGCAGAAACAATGAGGATGTGTTCATATAAAAACAGGTGTTAGAAAATGGCATAGCAGGTAAATGTAGCTCTGGGCTCTTCCTTGTCTCGGTGTCCTGAAGTTTTGCGGCGTCTACACTAAACGTGCATGCGGTACATGCAGTGCGCGTGGCTTTGCAGCAGTAAAGCTTTTGGGTGTATATAATATGTAGAATAATGTTTTTTTAATCCAGATAGATTTTTGTGGAGTCCTGTACAGAGTTGTTTTTTTTTACAAACTGTTTTTGTTTTTTTGTTTTCCCCCAGGCAGACGCCACGCTCTGTCTGGACCGGTGGTCCCTGTTGGACCTGCAGCATCGGGGCAGATAAAACCCGCCCTCATCCTGAAGGTTCGGCCCAACGGAGCGGCGTGGACCCAGACGTTTCTCGGGTTGGAGTGAGGGTCTTACAGACGGATTTACGGGAGGCCCCTCAGGGAGGCGTGTTCCACTCAGAGTCTCCAAACCCCTCCCCCGTGGAGGAGAGGGGCATGGCCCCCCCACTGGGCGTGAAGGGRTCCGTGTCCGTGTCAGTCTCCCCCTCCGCCAGGTAGCTGGGTCTGGGTCTGGTCCAGCTGGCCTCGCCCGTCGCCATCCCGGTCCCCATGGACAGGTCCGCCCCTTCCCGCTCCCCAGAAATGCTGAAGCCGCTGGGCGAGCGCTCCAGCTCCTCGTGGTTCACCGACAGCATGGAGAGCGGCGAGTCGCCCCCCCGCCCCCCCATGGTCCTGCCCGGCCCCGCCGACAGGTCCTGCAGGGAACTGATGGGGAGCACGGTGGGTCGCTCCGTGTACGTGGCGACGGCGCCCGGAGGACGGGTTCCCGCCGCTCCGCCCCCTCGGCTGCAGCTCAGGCCCACCTTCCTGACGGGCACCTGGTACGACAGCGGCGGGAAAACCTCGGCGTAGTTGAGGAAAACCTGCCGGATCTCACCGTTCATCGTGGAGTCGCAGGCCTCCAGGGTCATGCGGGCGGTGCCGGCCGAGTCCACCTGCAGGTGCTCCGTGTGCTGGATGTGCATGTCCACCAGGAAGTCCAGCTTCTTCTCCATGTCCTCCACCTGCAGCGGACGTTTMCAACAAAAGTTATTAATTCTGTAGAATCTGTTTATTTAAAACAGAAAAGAAATGTTTGCAGCAAAAGAAAAATTCAAACTGAAAAAATAAAAATAAAGTTTAAAACTAAGTGTGTAATTAAACCTGTACGGCATGCAGTTGTGTCACATAATCTACGGCAGGCAGAATCGTAAAATAAAAAATATGGCAGGCTGTTAAATCATATAATAAAAATATGACAGGCCATTGCATCATTAATTACATATATGGCAGGCTRTTTTATCATTTAATAAAAATATGACAGGCCATTGCATTGATTATTAAATATATGGCAGGCTGTTTTATCATTTAAAAATATGACAGGCCTTTACAACATATAATATAAAGATGACAGGCCATTGCATCATTGATTAAACATATGGTAGGCAGTTTTATCATTTAATAAAAATATGACAGCCATTGCATCATTGATTAAATATATGGTAGGCAGTATTATCATTTAATAAAAATATGACAGGCCATTGCATCATTAATTAAAAATATGGCAGGCTGTTTTATCATTTAATAAAAATATGACAGGCCATTGCATTGATTATTAAATATATGGCAGGCTGTTTTATCATTTAATAAAAATATGACAGGCCATTGCATTGATTATTAAACATATGGCAGGCTGTTTTATCATTTAAAAAATATGACAGGCCATTGCATCATTAATTAAATATATGGTAGGCAGTTTTATCATTTAATAAAAAATATGACAGGCCATGGCATCATTAATTACATATATGGCAGGCTGTTTTATCATTTAATAAAAATATGACAGGCCATTGCATTGATTATTAAATATATGGCAGCCTGTTTTATCATTTAATAAAAATATGACAGGCCATTGCATCATTGATTAAACATATGGCAGGCAGTTTTATCATTTAATAAAAATATGACAGGCCATTGCATCATTAATTAAATATATGGCAGGCTGTTTTATCATTTAAAAATATGACAGGCCATTGCATCATTAAATAAAACATGGCAGGCTGTTTTATCATTTAATAAAAATATGGCAGGCCATTGCATCATTTATTAAATACATGGTAGGCTGTTTTATCATTTAGTAAAAAAATATGACAGGCCATTGCATTTTTTATTAAATATATGGCATGCTGTTTTATCATATAATCAAAAACAATGTGTTTCAGTTTTTTAGTTTCAAAAAAGGTTTTTGAGCAAACTTTATGTTCCATGAAAACGTCTGTCAATTAAAACATTTAGAGTAAAAATCCTAAAAGTTAAAGTGCGATTGTATAAAACTTTATTCTTTGTCCTTTCTTCTGTTGGGTGTTTGAGTTAATCATTTGTCGTATGAATTTTGTAATAATTAAATTGTGTTGTTCAGGTGTTTGTGTAAAACCTGGTTCTGGTCCTCACCTGTCGCTCCACCCTGACAAATCTACCCATCATGCTTTGGTCCTCAGCATCTGGCATGGAGGTGGCTTTGGCTAAGTAGGACTCATGCCTGGAACGAAACGTGTTTTTAAGAAACCAAACCTCTCGTTAGAGCGTCAGGTRTTTCAGTCAGGTGAGGAGTACCTGGGCGACTGACTGGACGGGTAGTTAAAGGGAGTTTTCTGGGTCTTCTTGCTTTTAGGGGTGAGGAGAGGTCCAGGGGCCAGAATCATGTCGATCCTTTTTAAAGAAGAGACAGGTTATTTACTGACCTAACCCCGCCCCCTTTCACCTGTAACCGGACACTCACCTGGTCTGGAGGTATTTGATCCTGCAGAGCATGTCCAGGTGTCCGGCAGAGTACTGCTCGATCACGTCTTTGACGTCGTAAGGCCTCAGAGTTTCCTTAAACCGCTTCTTGTTCAGGAGGAACTGCATGATCCTGGAGAACAAAGTCCAGGATCAGGACTGGACGAAGGTCCCGGAAGGATTWATTTTTTATTTTTGCTCAAACATGATGTAACGTCCTAAAGCTGCAGGATTTGTAAACGTTAGGGCTTTGTGTTGGAGATGACCTCAGTATAAATTTAGCCGTTTTGTTTTAGCTGAAGTTGATTAGCTTTAGCTAAGTTAGCATTTAAGTTATTTAAGTTAGCATCCGGAATTTCCCCGCGCGGGACAATAAAGGCTGTTTCTATTCTATTCTATTTTTGTAGCTTTAAACCTTGTTCTGTTCTTTAACTTTATAACAGTTAATGTTCTTTAGATGTTCCACSTTACATAACTGAATAAAATTTTAAAAAAGCAGGTCTGATTACGCAATAATCCCATGGTTCCAGTCTGGTTTTGTGACCCAGTAGGGGGTCTTGGTTCTGAACCGCTGGTTTAAAGAGCCTGTGACAGCCTATCCTTTAAATGCAATAAGTCAAACAAAGCATCTTTATACGTACTTAAGAAAATTGCCACAGTACACATGATTTTACCCATTTTGTCACATAATTGCCCTATTTTCTTTAGAATTTGGCTCAGCAAACGTGAAACAGGAAGTGACATCAAAGGGGAACTCATTAAAATAAACTTGCTGGTCTCTATTAAAACAAAGTTATTTGAACTTTAACTCTTCTTCGTCTCTCTTTGACAGCAACTAAAAAATAATCTAAAGAAACAGATCCTTCTCTACAGTCTGTTTTGTTAGCTTTTATAACATCGCTCTGTTTACATGCAGACATTCCCCTTTGACATCACTTCCTGTTTCTTCACATGCGAATGTCTCAACAACCGTTCATCTCAGCCACGTGAAATTAGTTTTGCCACATGTTGTCAATGTTGTCTTTCCAAAAAATGCATTCATGTTTATTTAAAAAATTGATGTCACAGGCACTTTAAGGGTAGATTAAACAGGAAGTGATCTTAAGGTGTCCTGATCCGTCTAAACTGATTCCTTCAAACCCAGGTCCAATCTGGTCCAAGACTCTTAAACTGAACAAAAAAAAAACCCTACAGAGTTTAAAAACCTGAGAAAGATGAGTTCTCTACCACCCACTGAGCTGTTCCCTTTGTCCCTCACAGGTCTAAACGGTTCCCGCTGCTCCAGGTTCCACCTTTGGCACAAAGTCTTGGGTCCTGAAACCAAAACCCTTCGGGTCCGAGCATCCTTTTCAGAGAGCCATTCAGCCCGCACATAAAGGAGTGGAAGGAAGGAGGACTTTCACAGAGCGAATCACTCATCTGACAGATCCTAACGTCAGATTGAGTTCCTGCTTTATGTCAGCTGGGGTCTATAGATCCACCAAAACCTGCYGGTCTGAGATCTGCGGTAGGAAAAACTGAACCACAAACCAAAACCCTGAACTCTTTTATAAAAATTAAAACCTGATCAAATAACTGATGCAGCTTAATTTAAAACGTCTTTGAAATGCAACAAGTTAAAGTCGTGTAAAAGAAAAATTCAGCTAATGCGCTAATAGAACTAGCTTCTCATTTCCTGGTTAGCTTTTTGGCTAACTTTGCAAAACGTTACCAGAAATTTAGGTTCTGCTGATTTTAAGTCCATTTAAAAAAAATCACAATTTATTTTTATATTGTTTATCCTGAATTAAATAAAAACTAACTTTTACAAGCAAGGATGTGTCAGGTACTGTGTGTTAGCATGTAGCATCTTTAGCAGCTAAACTTCAAACTAAGAGCGTCAAAAAGAAATAAAATTACNACAAGCAAGGATGTGTCAGGTACTGTGTGTTAGCATGTAGCATCTTTAGCAGCTAAACTTCAAACTAAGAGCGTCAAAAAGAAATAAAATTACAATTAACAATATTTAAAGTCATTATGTAAAAAAATATGGTAGAGAAAGTATTGTTATTTGCTGTTTGGCTAACTCCAAATGTTATTTATAAAACCACAAACTCCATAAAAGAAGTTATTTTATCCTGAAAGTACAGGAAACCTCTAACTCTGGTTTTGATTGGCTGATTTGCCACAGGTGATCCCGCCCACCTTTAAATTAAACCAATAGAAAACTGAGAACAGGCTCGTGTCTGTCACACTAGTCTTCAACTAGAAAGAGAAGAAAACCTGCTGTCATCTTAGCCATTAGCATTAGCTTCCACTAATTTTTTACCTGTTTAGCAGATTAGTGTTAGCGGTGCTAAGACTAGCGCTTGGTTTGGAACAGAGCTCAGCCTTTAAAATCCACCATGACTTTAGTTTCTTTGTGTTTTTAAGAAAACAAAAATAAATCCCATCCATCTGCCCGTCAGGACAGTTAGCTGCTGACCTGACCGCCCTGATGACCAGTTTCAGGGTCGGGATCATCTCCTCCAGGAGGATCTCTGGGGGGAACCCTCGATCCTCTAAGGCTGGGTCCTGCAGGGCTCCAGTATCTGAGAGAAAAACAGAAACATTTTCTATCTGCTCGTCTTCCTCCAGAGCTTCTGTACTTCTCCTGACCTTCAGAGCTCTGACGCAGGGTGGAGGCCTTCATACGGAAGGCGGTCCGGAAGCGTTCCCGGTTACTGAACCCGGCGGGTTTGGGCTCTTTGGAGGGACTATCCTCTACAGACTCAGCCAGGGGTTTCTTGCTCATCACCACAGACGGTCTTGGGTTGGACTGACGAACCCGCTCCAGTAAACTTACCTTCTGGCTGGAGGAGGACAGAAGACACGGATCAACAGAGATTATAGACAGGCGGTTCTGGTCAGGCCCAGCCCAATCAGAACCAGAAACATTTAGTGAAATGTGTTCATCTTAAAACAATAATCCACTTTAGGTCCTATAAATCTGGACCTGAGCACAAACCATCAACCGTGATGTTTAGACCGATTACATCTGGAGCATGCCGTTAGCTCCCCAGCTAGCATTAGCTCTGAAGCTAATGTCATTTTATCAATTTAAATACAGCATGCACTTAAGCTAAAATTATTAGAGCTATGACCATAAAATGTTTCATTAGCTTCCGAGCTAATATTATTAGCTCCCCAGCTAACATTAGCTCTGAAACTAATACCATATTGCTAATTTAAATGTAGTATACAGTAAAGCTAAGATTATTAGCTAATTAATTAATTATTAGCAAATTAAATGTAGCATTAGCTCTCAAGCTAGTAAAATTAGCTCCCCAGCTAACATTAGCTCTGAAGATAACTCCATATATTTACACATTATTACCAAATTAAATGTAGCATTAGCTCCCCAGCTAAAATTAGCCACAATGCCATTTCAACAATTTAAAAACAGTATATACATATATATATATGTATATAC